GGAATCTAGTCGGTAGAGGCCAGAGACTCATCTAAACATCCTACAACGCACAGGGTAGCTCCCCCAACAAAGAATGATCTGTCCTAAAATGTCAATAGTGCTGAGTCTGAGAAACCCTCCTCTAGAGCAGTGCTTCTCAAACTTTAGCATGCATCATAGTCACCTGGGGGGCTTGTGAAAATACGAATGGCTGGGCCCCAGCCCCACGTTTTCTGATTTAGAAGGTCCAGGGTGGGGTCCAAGAATTTGCATTTCTAGGGAGTTCCCAGGTGATGCCGATGTTGCTAGACCAGGGACCACACCTTGAGAACCATTGCTGGAGACAATTCCATCAATATGCATTGCTTGATTTCATAGGCTGCTTTCCTTAACCTACTGAGCAAACTAGTGTCTTTACTTGTTAAATGGTGCAAAGTTTGTACCAGCTAGTAGAGGAGTCTGGCCCTAGGCCCAAATTCTTTGTGTGATATGTGTGATTATAGGCAATTACAAGGCTTTTCCTGGTAGCCCTCAGGAAGAGAGGTTGCCTTTCCCACTCCAGCCTTTGTGCAAGGCTAGAGGTTTTCTGGAGGGAGTTGCGTTCAAGGACTCAGGTCCCCATCCCCTATGCCCATATGCATAGCTGCCTTCTTAGCCCAGGTGCCTCCATTCTGAGGCCTCTTTACTGGGGACCTTAGCTAAGACACTTCTCTTCACTTGACTCACTTTTCCATTCCTAGCCCTTCCCCTCTCCCTCTCCACAGCCAATGGGAGCCATAAAGAGGCAAGAGCCTTTTGTTTCGGAGCTCCTTTTGCTCCGGAGTTGATGCCTCCTTCTGTTCTGCATGTCATCTGATCCTCACCTGTGCTGTTCCATGGAGGAAAAACGGGACAGAGGGGAGCTGGAGCTTTTCTCTTTTGCTCCTTGTTTTCACTGTCGTAGGAAGTGAATAAATGCTTGGTTGTCACTCTCAGTTTGTCTCATTGTCCTGATTGACCACCTTGAGACCTGATTGTTCACAGCTGGTCTTAAGTATTTTCCTTCACCTACAGTCTCCCCTCAACCCACGCGCTGTGAAGATAAATGTTATGGTACAAAGCTATCCGGTGTGACCGACTACTCCAGAGCAATGGTTCTCAGCCTTGGCTGTACATTGGCATTGCCTGGGGATCTTGTTAAAATGCAGTTTCTAATTCAATAGGTCTGAGATTCTGCATTTCCAAAAAGCTCTGACGTAATGTGAATTCTGCTGGTCCAGGGACCACAATTTGAGTAGCAAGACCAAGGTTTCAAGAAACTAACAATTTTGTTAAAAGAATTAGAATGAATATAGAGACACACAAAACAATTAGAGTGATACGAGTTGGTGGCATCAGCTGTTTCTAAGATAAAAAAAATCAGATGATTTTAGAACAGTGGTGCTCAACCCAGGCTGCACCTGAGGAGTTTATAATTTTTCTGTATGAAAACATATTTTTGGAAGTAGATGTCTAGAGTGACAAGTGAGCTGGATTAGGAGTCAAAATATCACAGTTCTAGCCTAGAAATTGGCATTCTGAGGTGTGGGATTTGGAGAACTTAATGTCTACCAACTTGATTCTATCTGTTAAAAAGTGAGGATGAAAACGTACACTATGCTTTGATAATATATTGACAATACTGATAGATTTGTGTCAGTTTCAAATGAGAAAGTATGAGAAAACACCACTCATTTATTTGTTCATTCAAAATATTCATTAGGTGCCTACTCTGGGCCAAGCCTGATTCTAGGTACTGGGGAATACTCAGTGAAAAAGAGACACAGGCCCTGGCCTCACGGAGCCTGGAGTCTAGTCATGAAGACAGGTATCAAAGATACGATGATAAACTAGGTAAGTGTTATGTTAGGAAGCAGAGTGTGTCACGGGAGCTGACAGCAGGTGAATTTACTTCATCTAAAAGCCAGGGAGGCCCTCCCAAAGAAAATGAAGTTTAAGCTGAGATCTGAAGGCAAGGGCTCCAGACAGAGGGATGATATGTCCAAAGGCCCAGTGATGAAAGAGCACAGTGACCAGAGAGAATGTTCGAGTATGGCTGGAACATGGAGAGTGAAGGAGCGTGTGGCTCCTTATGAGAGGTACTATATTCAACAGGACACATTTGGTTACAGGTGGCAGAAGCCCAACTCGCAGAGCTTAAGTATAAAAGGGAAATTGATGGCTGATTGAAGTCCACGAGTAGAGCTGGACTCGGGGGAGTGAAATGAGATCATCAGGTCTGCCTCTTTGCTCTCTTACTCTCCTCTACTTTCCTCTATGTGCCGGTCTTACTCTCTTCCAGTTCGGAGGCGCTTCCTCCATATGGCTGGGAAATGATAGGGCATGACTGGAGGCAGCTCAAGATTTACAGCATCTTGGTTTAGCTACAAAGGAAAGTGAGGTCTCCTTTCTTCCAGGATGCGTATAAAATCCCAGGTAAGAATTCTGATTGCATCATGTACCATTCCAGGCCAATGATTGTGGCTGGGGGATGGAGGAGTACTGTGATTGGCTGTCCCATCAAAATCACAGGTAGGGGCAAGGGACATTACCTTAGGGAGGAGAGAGTTGCGGTTATCAGAAAAAAGGGGCAAAGTGATGCTGGACAGACAGAACCAAAAAATATTCACTACAAGTATCTAGTATCGAGTATCTAGTAGAAAGATAGGGGGAGTATGTGTACCACAGTAAGACCTTGAACTTTTCCCTAAATGTAGCTTGGATGATAAGTTTGGGTTTGAATACATTGTTGAGGTATATGTGGACTACATGGTAGCTGGACATATTTGGAGCTCACCTAAGGAAAATGAGAAAAGAAGATAAAGGAAGAAAAGAAAAAAGGGCCCTTATAAATTGGAAATATTAATATTGTGCAACAAATATGAGATAGAAAATAATTAAAATTTATTTTTAATTTTAATATCACCACTGAAATTCCCCCTAAGTCGACCTTCAGATGCCTGCTAAGTACCTGTGTGCAATGACAACTTCAGTTCTTAGGCTAGAAGACAGTCAGATTTATTACTGGTTTGTTTAGGTCATAGCCTTCCTTCTGAGTCCTTTTGAAATTAATCATTTCTCCTTTGGGCATTATGGTTAAGTGATATGATCTGTAGTTACCACTACAATTGATTTCACATAAATTAGGCAGAGGAGCAATATTCCAACTTAATTAAATCACGCAAGGATATAATTTACATGATATTTACCGTTGGACAAAATGGGTTACCCATTAATGTTATAATATTAGGATTAATAGAAGTAGAAGAGTCTTAGCAAATTTTTTCAGGTTTTAGCTCAAGTAACAGAAACTGGTCGAGCAGTTAAGATTGGACAAGATCATAAGAATGTATGTGAAAACAAATTGGAAGTTCTGTAAATTGTCATGTCTGTATAATTAAGGGAATATAGGGGAAAACCTCTAGCGGGTATATTACCTAGACTTGTGCTGTCCAATCTAGTAGCTATATACATTTAAGTAAAATTAAATAAAAAATCAGTTCCTTAGTCACACTAGCCACACTTGAAGTGTTCAGTGGGTACATATGGCTAGTGTCTACCATGTTGGACAGCACCTATATAGAACATTTCCATCATCACTGAAAGTTGTATTGGACAATGCTAATCTAGACAACATTGATGGATCAAGTTCCCTTTCTTTGGGATGAAATGAGCTAAATAAAAATTCTAACAAGAGTTTTTTCTCTCTCCCCATGTTCCACAGTAAGTCTTGTCAACTACTACTTTAAAACATCCTCAATCTACCCACTTCTCTTCTTTTCCATTGCTACCCTCTGAGTCTGAGCCATTATTATCTCCCATCTGGACAACTGCAACAGCCTCCTGACCCACCTCCTTGCTTCTGTTCTTTCCATTTGTATATAGTTTCCATAGATGAGCCAGGGGGATCGTTTAAAAACATAGACCAAATGTAAATTTCTTAAGGAAAAAGAGAAGGAATGCAAAAGAAGGAAATCGAACATTCATTGAATTCCTACTATTTGCACCACAGTGTGCTCTTCTTTGAAATAAACTATCTTCTTTAATCTCCACAATAATACACAAGGGAGGTACTATAATTCCCTTCTTTTTACAAAGATGGAAATTAAGGCTCAGAGAAGGCACATAACTTGTCTGTGTTCACCTAGCTAGTAAGGGGCAGATCTGTTAAAGAAATGAATGAATGAATGATTAGATAACAAAGTCCATAAGCTTCCAGCTAGATCGCCTTGCCAAACATTATTAAACTCTAAAAGAGATTTGTTATTGGGCTTCTTTCTGTTGAGGAGGAAGGAACTCTGTATTTTTATCTACCTTATCTGGTTATTTATCTGGACTTTGCATCCTCAGTTATAAGTACAGCAGTCTCCTCACCAGGTTAAAGTTGAAGGTCTCTATTTCTTTAACTCCCAAAGATACCAAAGTGGCAGGTAGAGTTTTGACATGAGTTGTCCTGAAAGGGTCCCCTAGCAGATCATGTCAGGCCATTGTCCTAGGGTTTAGGGCAACAGTTTCCACTTTTTTGGGTTTGAGGTGTAGCTTAAAATACTAGAGCTTTTGAAGGCACATTTCAAGGGGTTGAAAGATTCAAAACAGCAAACACACAGAAAGCCAGTGACGATGATAAAGCATAGGAAAGTAAGACAACATCTTATATGGCTGAATGCATCCACAATGATCACAGTGTTGGTCATGGGGTCCCTCTGACACTGTGCTACCTCTTTGCCTGCATTGCTCCACACAATCCATCTGTCACATAGATGTGTTAAGAGTATATACTGAGTTGCAGCAAAATTAAATTTTATTACTTTTATTACCTTCTTTGCAGCTGGGGAATGGGCAGAGTAGACTAGAGGTCTCTTCTTTGTTTCCTCCTAGAAATAGACCTTGTCCTCCATTTTGGTTTTTAAAAAATTTTTTATTTATTTTTTATTGCGGTAATGTTGGTTTATAACATTATATAAATTTCAGGTGTACATCATTATATTTCATTTTCTTTGTAGATTACATCATGTTCACCACCCGAAGACTAACTACCATCCATCACCATACGCATGTGGGAATCATTGGTAACCACCAATCCAATCTCTGTCTCTATGTGTTTGTTTGTTGTTTTTGTCTTCTATTTATGGGTGAAATCATATGGTATTTCACTTTCTGCCTTGTCCCCCTTTTATCCTCTGAGTGGCAGCACCGGGACGTATAGGAAGCTATTGGCATCAGCTACGTAAACAAGGGAGATTCACAAGCCTCCAGTTTTGGACTTTGATGCATTTCTTCAGCTAAATCAAATGATCTTCAAATCTTTGACCCCCCAACATTCCTCCTTTAAATTTGCTTCTTAGACTATAAATAAAGCAGAGGAGGGGTATGTAATTTTATAATATTAGAGATGAATAATTTGTTTCAGTCCCTAATTTTACTGATGAGGAAACTGACTGCCAAGAGATTGAAGTCACTTGCCCAAGGTCATATAGCTAGATAAGGGAATAACTTATTGTTAGTGGAAAAGAGTGTGGACTTTGGAGCTAAATTCGATTTGAAATTCTAATCCTGTCATTTACTAGCTGTCCCAAACTTGGGAAAGTCGTTTAAATACTCTGAGCCTCTGTTTCCTCATCTGTAAGTTGAGGACGATAGTATCTAGGTTGCAGTGTTGTTGCAAGTTTAGAGGTATCTGTTACTCATTGCTTAGAAGAATAGACCAGTTATCTATTGCTGTGTTACAAATAACTCCCAAATTTAGCAGCTTCAAACAGCACATATTTCTTATCTCACAGTTTCTGTGGGTCAGGAATCCTGGTGCGGCTTAGCCGGATATCTCTGGCTCAGGATTTTATAAAGCTTCATGATGCGTCATGCAAAATGTCCTTTATGTGGGTGTGAAAAGCAGGAGGCAGGATCACTGGAGACCATCTGAGAGGCTGCCTAGCATGGAGTATGTGTTACATGCGGTTGATTTGGGCTAGGGGCTGGGTCAGATGGTAATGGTACTCAGACAGCTTATTAGATCAGTGTTCATCTATGGGTTCTGTTCTCAGGCTGGCCTCATTCAAAATTTGTATCAGTGACTTAGATGATGATATAAAACAACAGTCTCTAATATTTCTTGATCATGCATCTGTAAAAACTTCTGAGCATTTATCTCAATATATGTACATTTGCTTATAAATATAAACATCGACCAGCACTAATTTATTAACTAATAGTAAGGCTTAATTCCTTTCTTGCTTTGGATGAAAAAAAAAACAAGCTAAAAATAGAAGTTCTGCTATTTTTTACCTGAACTCCAAAGGACTATCTTATGCACTCTTGGGCTGTGTGCACCCCACTGGCAAAGAAAGTGATGGAGAGATGGAGAATGTGGTAGATGTCAGAGTTAGGACCCAAATAAATCTCAACAGGCTGGAATGACCGCCAAATATATGAAGATTGGGGGTAAATCATTCCAACAATCAACATGCCGGGGTCATCACTGGCACATAAGTCACCTTATGTGGATCCCTGCAGAACTGCCTCCTCTGGGCAAAAGAATGACAAAAATTGTCTCCTTCCTCAGGGAACAAGGCTGGATGAGCTGAGGGCAGGCTAGATTTCAGCCGCTACTTTCCGTCTTATCTGGGCCTCTTAGATGGCATACAAACTGTATAACCATGTGTGGCAGACCTGTGATTTCCCAGTAGCACTTGTAAAAAAGAGTCTTGAGAGTGTCAGATCAATTAACTGAGACCCAAGGAACAGAGAAATTAAGTACATGGTGGAAACAGGCTTCAGGAATAAGGCTGGATCTCAGTTATTAGAAATGGATCACATGTTTGGCCAAGACATCAAGACTGGTTTGATGCCATCATCTTCTTGTTTTCATCTTTTCACCCTTCAAAAGGGGGAGACTAATTCCTCTCCTCTTGAATGTGGGCTGGACAAATGAGTCAATTCCAACAAACAGAGTATGGCAGGATATGTGTGACTAGGTCATAAAAGAGATCATGGCTTCTTACCTACTCTCTCTTGGACCACACATTCTGGGGGAAGCCAGCTGCCATGTTGTGAGGACACTTATACAACCCTATGGAGAGGTCCATGTAATGAGGAAGTGAGGACTCTTGCTAACAGCCATATGAGGGAGCTGTCTTGCAAGCAGATCCTTCAGGTTTGGTTAAGCCTTCAGAGGACTGCTGCCCCAGCCCACAGATTAACTGCACCCTCATGAGAGCCTCTGAGCCAGAACCACCCAGCTAAGCTGTTCCCAGATTCCTGACCCACAGAAATACTGTGAGGTAACAGATGTTTGTTGTTTTAAGCCCAGTATTGGCAAGCTATAGATTGAAGGCCAAATCCAGCCTGCTGTCTGTTTTTACAAATAAAGTTATATTGGAACACAGCCATGTCCATTGATTTACCTATTGTCTATGGCTGCTTTCCCACTACAATGGCAGGGTTGAGTAATTGTGACAGAGACCACATGACCTTTGAAGCTGGAGATATTTATTATTTGGCCCTTTTCAGATGGAAGGTGTGCCAATCCCTTCCTTAACTGCCAAGTTTTGGAGTGATGTTTTTTACACAGCAATAGATATCTAATACAGAGGAATATGGCAAAAATTCCTATGAGAGACATACAAGAGTAGACATTTTCTTCTTTATGTTAACTTTGTCATATCTAGCTATGACTTCTGGAACTGCTACTATCATTTTGTGACCGTGGGAGGAATCAACTTAAAGATAAATTTAACAATGAGAATAGCAGAGCTTAAAGAAGCAAAGAACCTGGGTGTGATGGTTAATTTCATATGTCAACTTGTCTGGGTTTAGGGATGGCTAGATAGCTCAGAAATAAACACTATTTCTGAGTGTGTCTGTGAGGATGTTTCCAGAAGAGAGTAGCACTTGAATCTGTAGATTGAGTAAAGAAGGTCACCCTCCCCAATGCGGGTGGGCATCATCCAATACATTGAGGGCCCGAATAGAACAAAAGTGGGGAAAGGGTGAATTTGCTCTCTTGCCTGAGCTGGTACATCCACCTTCTCCTGTCCTCAGACATGAGTGCTCCTGCTTCCTGGGCCTTCAGTCTCAGTTTGGGACTTATCATTGTCTCCATGGTCCTCAGGTGTTTGGGTTTGAACTGGAACCACAACGCCAGCTTCCCTGGGCCTCCAGTTTGTAGATGGCAGATAGTGGGACCTCTTAGCCTCTATAATTACATGAGCTAATCTCTTATAATAAATCTCTTTCTATAGATCCATATAAATCCTGTTGGTTCTGTTTCTCTGGAGAACCCTGCCTAATACACTGGGTCTCTGATGAAGTCATGAAGCCACTGAGTTAATCAACCCTGGAGCTACCCTACCTCAGCTCTTCGTAGTACCCAAGACAGTACATTTTCTTATTGTTTTAGTTCTTTGAGTTGGGATTTTGGTTACTTGCAGCTAAAATCATCTTAATTATACAACTGTTTACTTGAACAGAACAGCTCTGCAAGTGAAAGAAGCCTGACTCATCTCAGAACACAGTCATTGTCAAGACACCTGGGGAGCAGATTCAACACAGTTTAGTATGTTGCAAGGTCTTTCTAGCAAAATCTTAAACTGCCTCCACCTTGAATCAATCCCCATTCTCCACCACTGCCTCTTCCCTGCAAATCTGCACCACTCTCTGGGGGAAGGGAGCCAGAACATGTGGTTTGGGCCACCCTGGATTCCCCGTGCCTCCAAGAGCACTCACAATTAGACATCTGGGAGGAAAATGGACCCAAAGAACACCCTTGATGGCTTGTAGCATCTCCATTGATTTTATGGTGGCCTTGACACCCGTCCCCACTCAGACCAGTGAGAGGTCTAGGGAGTGGAAGGGGGCCTGGTCTGGTGGCGTCAGCATTGTGTTGCTGGGGCCACCTCCCACAGTTAGCCTGGCATTGACTAGGTAGGGGATGGGCTCTGCATTTTGCACTTTCTTCATTTCTTAGGTTGGTTTTTGACACAAAACAGCTCCACAATTCTCTCTTGCCTGCTTTCTTAGTAACTGACTCTGAGTTCCATGGGTCATGTGACAAAATCAAGGTAAGGAGGATATTTCTCTACATGTCTCTTAGGAAGCTTTGCCAAATTCCTCTGCATTAGATATTTATTGCTATGTAGCAAAGTTACTCCAAAGCGGCCATCCCGTTCTCATCCTTTCTGGCTATCCCACCCTCTGGCCCACGGTGCTGAGTTGCCATCAACACAAACTCCTGCCATGATGCTGTTTACATTTTTTCTTCTGGATACACATTTTCTTGCAAACCAGTCTCAGGCCTTTGTCTTCTAGGGCCCTGCTACTCAAAGGGTGGTCCTTGGGCCAGCGGTATCAGTACCACCCCAGATGACACTTGAAAAACAACAGACAATTTTTTTCCTCAAGGTTCTTTCTGTTCTCCTTTCAGAAATATTCTCCATTTCTCCTCTCAGCAAGAGCTATGGTTTACATTTAAACTATTGCTGTCCCGGCAGAAAAAACCTCTGTCCACACTTTCAAATGCATTCACTTCTTCCCACCCCATGGGATGTGGTCTATGTTGGGAGGCGCACAGTAGTCAGTTCATTTCCAATTGCGCACTGGACTGAAAATAAGCAAGTCCTCCACGTGGAGGCGAGCTTTGCTGTTTTCCACTCTGTGCTGACCAGCTTTACGCACACACCGTGAATCTGAGAGCCTCCTTGCCCAAAGGGAAAGCTTGTCTGGATTAGAACAGTCCTGCGTAGAAACTTGACACTGTCCTGAGCCGGGAGTATTTGGAATCACACACAGGAAAGGGCTGCGTATTTGTTGACCTGCCTAAACGACAGAATGTGTGTGTGGCCATCTCTAATTACAGCACTCCAGGAAGCATCACCCCAAAACTACGTCTGCTATGAACCACAGCACGTCCTCCGGCTAATCCTTATTAACCGACGGGGACGTGCTCTTGCTGCATTTACCGTCTTCTACACGGCATCCTTCCGCAGTCATTTCATGCCTTGGCAGCTCACTGGTCCATCCTCTGGGGCACATGGGCCTAGCTTCACCCCCCCACGAGGTAC